TGGGGCTCCGTCCAAACAGTAATCACTAGACTCTCAGCTCCCAGCCTACGTAAGTACCCTGCCTGCCTTGTATTCTAGTGGATTTATTGGTTGAAAGCTTCACTTTTGACCAATAATAAACTTAGTCCTTTCAGTCTTGCTCGAAGTTGACTGTTGTAATAATCACCACGTCTTTTAGGTATTGTACTTATCATGGAGAGTGATTTCTTAAGCAGTGGGTAACCTGTCTATCTTTCCAGCTTGGTGACAGACAGGGTCACCTGCCAATCAAAAGAGTAGAATTGATGGAGATGGACTAACGTCCTGAGACTTCCCCTTTTTGGATTTAATTACCTGTGCACCTGTATGAAATTGCAGGATGTAACCCCCCATCATTGCAGCGGTAAAAAACCTGCTTTCCCTGTCATCGGGATAGAAAACTCACGGCTATACTGCGAAGAACGAACCGGTGGGTTGTAACCAACACCTGCGACCCCCCCCCCCCATCACCAGCAACTGCTACGATTTCAACAACATGCAGTGTCACCAACACCAGACACCCTATATATATTAGCGATGAGTTCAAATGTTATTTTATTCATTTCATTTTTCATTTTTCTTTCAAATAGGATATACCTTTCATGTTTTATTGTTTTATTTTGCTTTAATAAATAATAAAGTGTTTATCTTTGTTAATTATTATTTCTTTTTCTATTCATTAATTTTCCTGAGGAGCAGCCAGCCCTTTGGGAATACTGCATGAAGTTGTTACAGGGGCTGAGTAAGCCTTCACAAGTGGCGACCCTGCCAGGATCAACTCTACTGAATCAGATTCAACTCCATCTCGAATCTACCATTGGAACTTTCAACGCTGCATACCACAGACGTTTACCACCAGCCATGAGTAATCATTCTCTATGGTAGGGATACAGTACAGGTATTTAAAATATTTGGTGATTGTTACAGTCTCAATTTATTGTAAGTCAAGTCAAGGCAGCAATACTAGTTAATTCTGCCATCATTTTTTGTGTGAGCTTGAAACACTTTGGAGGATTAGACTCTAGGGACCGAGATTTTCCAGTGACATCTGTTTCATTGGCTTTTTTATTATATCAAGGGAACTGTCATAGGGGCCACTCTTGATTTGTTGGCGAGAGATTGGATGGCAAGTGATCCCATTCTATTACTGTTTGCTCGGAGCCGGCTTTGAACCCTTCGTTTTAATTAATACATAATTGTTTAATTGAAGTAGGGATCGAGCCCTCTGGTTTATTTACAGTTTGAGCGGAGCAGGAATTGAACCCTCCGTTTTTCTTTTAAAACCCGTTTCATTTTCCCCTGATAGTTTAAGTTATTCTTGCAGTATGGAGGAATACCAGTTTTGGATGAACGCTGGAAGTAAGTTTGGAATAACAGGGAAAAAATTTAGAATCTTTCATTGTGCTAAGATCCAGGAAAGACTTGAAAGAGAGAATTGAGAGAGAAGAGAGACAGTTAGAAAGGGAAAGAGAAGAAGAAAAGGAGAGAGAGAGAGAGAATCAAAGAGAAGAGAAAAAAAGGAGAGAGAGAGAGAACTGGGGAGAGAAATCCAAGAAAGACAGTTAGAAAGGAAAGAGAAGACAAAAAGGAGCGTGATAGACTTGATCGTGAAGGAAAAAAGATAAGAGAACGTGAGGAGCAGGCTAAAAAAACGTGAGGAACAGGGTAAAATACATGAGGAACAGGCCCAAAATACGTGAGGAACAGGCTAAAATAAAAAACTTGAGGAAAGAGCAAAGGATAGAGAAGTTGAGGAAAAAACTAGAGAACTTGAGTTAATAGAGAGAAAAGGATCGCGAGCTCGAGAAAGCTCGCCTTGAAACAGAGAATAAAAGTTAACTCTTACACAACAAAATTAGAGGAAGGAGTAATTGAACATCATGCAGCTAGTGCACATATTCCAACACCTAATTTACCTCCCTTCACAGAGGGGGAAGACATAACTTCATACATTATTTAGGTTTGAAAATACCGCTACCTTTGTGAATGACCTGCTGACACCTGGGCTACCAGGTTAGGAATGTTATTTTCTGGTACTGCTTTGAATATCTATGCAACTTTGTCGCAGGATATTATATGTAATTATAACCTACTGAAGAAGGCAATCCTTAAAGCATATCAAAAAACCACTAATTCTTACAAGAAAGATTTCAGGTATGCCACCTTACAGCCTGGCCAGAACTTTCAGCAGTTACAGGTAACACTCTTTCGTTTGTTCAACTTTTGGATAGGAGTTCAGGAATTGAAACACAGTTATGAATCTCTTAGAGAATTCATGGTTGCTGACCAGTTCCTGACAGCTCTTCCTCACCAGATACGAACATTCATTAGAGAACTAACCTGATTAAAGCTGAGAAGGTTGCTGAGGCTGTGACCTGTATGCTGAGGCTCACAATTCCTATAAAGACCTAAAGGGATCGAACCCTAAGGGCAAGGGTTCATCAGACCTTAAGAAATCAAAGCCCTAGTGGAAAGTAAAATGACTTCTTTTTTTCCTGTTTGTCATTTGTGTGGTGTTAAGGGACATAAACGTCCAGTTGTCCTTCTAAGAAGGTCCAAAAGTTGGAAGATGTTTTTAAAGACTTTAATGACCAAGCACCCCTTTTGTTTAGGAACAGTTAATGGACTTAATGTATCTACCATTTTAGAGACACTGGATGCACATGTATAGTCATTTCTGATAAGCTGTTCCCTAACCTTAAAGAAACTCATTTCCCCCGCTATACTTTCAGACTACTTGGGCCATTCGGACACTTTTCCTACCCATCCGTTGTTACATTAGGTCTAAATGGTTCCCCAGGTTGGTTTTGAACCGTACTAGCTCCCATCACTTCTTGCTCCGTACTAATAGGTAATGTAAAAGGTGCCATTCTTCCTTCTGAGATTGACCTTTCATCTCAAAGGTGGACATAGCTTTTCAGATCTTCTTCCTGTAGAATCAGAGAAGCCCTCGAAAGTTTTAGATGAGACAATGTCTCGCGAGATTCATGTGGGGTTAAAAAACCCGTGATTGTTACTCTTGAAAGCGAGGGAGTAGGATCACTGGTTCGCTTGTTAGAGGAAAATGAAGATATCACCTCCGATACCATAAATGTCTTGACTAGTGCTCAGACCAAAGCCAGGCTTCTTCCTACTACCATCCTTTGATTTTCCCTGACTAAGCCTTTAGATATATCGAAGGACTCCTTTGTCAATTTACAACGTAATTGCCCTTCTCTTTAGAATTGCCATAATGCCGCTAAACAAAATCAAGTTTATCCAAAGGAAAAACTTTTCATATAAATTTGAATATATAAAAGGTATCTTGTACAAGTCAGTATTCAAATAAATTCAGATGAGATAGACTATTCCATCTTAGTTGTTCCAAGTCAATGCAGAGACTGTTCTTAAAATGACTCATGACCTGCCCCGTGCCGGACATTTCTCGCATCGTAAAACCTTAAATAAAATTTAGAGAAACCTATTTTGGCCAAAAATGTCCTCAGATATCACTACCTATTGTAGATCGTGTAAAGTTTTTCCAACTGTCATCCTCCCGAGGTACCAGGCAAGTACCTATGGTCAAAATGCCAGTCTTTACAGTACCTTTCGAAAGAGTATCTATTGTATTGTTGGTCCTTTATCTCCACTTTCATCTGGGGACATAGATATATATTAACATTAGTTGATTATCTTCGAGTTTCCCTGAAGCCATTTCCCTAAAGACCATAACCACTACAGAGGTGGCTGAAGCCCTTTTGTCCATCTTCTCCAGAAGTGGGCATCCCTAGAGAAATTTTTGTCTGACCGTGGACACAATTCACATCTGAATTAATGCAACATCTATACCCAAATTCTGGAGTGAAGCCTTCTTCACCACACCCTATCATCCCAGCTGTAATGGGAGGATTGAGCGCCAGCATTCGATTCTCAAGTCCATTTTAAGGAAACTTTGCTCCCTTAACCCTTTCAGGGTCCGTCCCGTAGATCTACGGCTTTACGTTCAGGGTCCAAACCGTAGATCTATGTCATGAGCTCAGCTCACTCTGATAAACTGTGAGTGGTACATTTGGGCCTGAGAGATGCTATCTCCTGCTATCTGTTTTTCGTTTATCCATACTAATAACAGTCTCTCAACATCTTCTATCACTTGCGATCTCAGTTTCGAAAACATAGTTGCACCTTAGCAAGAACAGCTTCCTTTATTGCCGTTTTCTTGGCCACAATAGTAGCGATGGTTGACTGGGGTTTTGTGTACAGCCTGGCCAGCTCGGAGACATGCACTCCACTTTCATACTTAGCAATGATCTCTTTCTTCATATCCATAGTAATTCTCACCCTTTTTGCTGTAGGGTTGGCACTAGAAGCTTTCTTGGGGCCCATGGTGACTTATTTTGCAGGTGCAATCACTAAAAAGGCTGTGATAATATGAAATGTTCCGAATGTATGCTTGGAAGCGACCGCGGTGGCTGGCTGGATTGTAAACACTGGCCAGAAGTGGACGCGTCTCAGACGGAAGGAATAGTGTTGGTCGAGTTTTTTAGCGCTAATCGAGGCAAAATTTTTGCGATAAAATGTATCGCTAGTCAGATTTATCATTAATCGATGCCATCGCTGATCGAGGGTCCACTGCACGTATAAAGATACACAACATATCCCTCCAAACCGTCAATATCCCGAACCCCTCCTTCAGAGTGCAGTCATTGTACTTCCCATTTCCAGGACTCAAGTCCGGCTATATAAAAATAACCGGTTTCCCTGAATCCCTTCATTAAATATTACCCTGCTCACACTTATGTACTTATTTTAATTCTTTTCACATTGTTGCATGATAAAGCATAAAGCAATTAAGTGGTGCCTACTCCATGAAGGCTTGGTCCTGGACTGGGCTGTGAGGGCATTGATCCCAGAGCACACTCTAGATAGACTCCAGGTAGCATGTAGCTAGTTAGCAGTAAACATTTCACACAAGAGAATATAAATACTGTACAAGAATAACTTACGCCATGTGTGGAGGGCAGATAATTCTTCTCTTGCCTCCAACCTTCATTCCAATAACACCAACATCCCAGCCATTGATCACTTCTCCCATGCCCAACCGGAACTTGAATCCTTTGCCACTGTCATTTTTGTCAAATATCTTCTTGTTGCTCATCAGTCGCCCTTCATAGTATACCGATATCTGTTTAAAGATAAGCTTAATAAACATACTCAATTTATTTTTACGAATGCTATTGTTCTCAATCTTTTTCTCCTCTTCTCTTAGGTATAGAACACACAAAAAAAGTGTGATCAAGAGCATTTCACCTTCAGAGATGGGAACATTTACAAAAAGAAAATCTTATCTCGTATTTTTGGAAATCCAAGGCAGATGTATTTGCACAAAAATAAACTTATAATGTGTATATACAATACATACTACAAGAATATAGTTAAAGGCATCTTTTGACTGCCTGAAATCAGGGTGCTGTCCTATATTTTAGCCTCATGGCAGATAACAGATGTATCATATTTGCTGCCTGAGGATGGTCAGTCAATTATGCCATATGCTAAATAACTAGTCCACAATTACTACTGGATATTGAATATTTTAATAAATACGATATACCTATATCAATGCTCTTAAAAAAATTACTGTGATATAGTATAGGCAACTACACAGTAAAATACATACGCACCATGTTTCCACGCTTGGCTTCAGGTCCGGTACCAACAACAAGGTCTTCGCACGTCACTCCTCCTGGCTTTACTACCTTCGGAGATTTTTTGCCAACAAGTGGAGTCACTGGAGAATTTTTTAATTTATCTGAAAGCAGTTTGTAAAATAAGCACACCTTTATTACTGGTACAATACCAGATTAGTTACTAAATATTGTATGTCTTACATGTAACTTATACTGTTTGTACATTCTTTTACATGTATATTTTAACAGAATGGCCATCTCCCACCAAAGGAGAGTGAACAAAAAAGAAAGAAAGAAAGAAAGAAAGAAAGAAAGAAAGAAAAAGAAAGAAAAAGAAAGAAAAAGAAAGAAAAAGAAAGAAAAAAAGAAAGAAAGAAAAGGAAAGAAAAAGAAAGAAAAAGAAAAAGAAAGAAAGAAAAATAAAAAAAGAAAAAGAAAAAGAAAGAGAAAGAAAGAGAGAGAGAGAGAAAGAGAGCAAAAGAGAGAGTGAAAGAGCGAAAGAGAGAGCGAGAGAGAAAAAGAATGCTTTTGCTGTCTTGTCAGAAGCATGCTGATATCACAATTCAAGTGGTCCTCCAAACTGCAACATCCCCAACCACTCCTGAGTGAAGGCACTTCCAGGCAGATATTTAGAGGATGGAGATGGACAGAATGACAAAGAGGATGAATAAATCTGGGATGGAAGGTAGGAGGGGCAGGGGTTATCTCAGAAAATGTTGGAAGAAGGGGAGAGTAAAAGAGGTTTCGAGTTTTAGGGGCTTCAGCATCCAGCAGCCTGGCGAGAGTATGCTAGATAGGAGTGAGCAAGGTAACATTTATGAAGGGATTTAGGGAAATTGCTTACCTGGACCCTGGAGATGAAAATGACAGTGCAGTGGGGTTGTTGCAGTCTGAAGTGAAATGTCATTACTCTCCAGGCAGGACAACAATTCAATGAATGCTCCTGAATGTGTTTCCTTCTTTGTGTCACCCTGTTTAAGCAGGGTGACTCCATCTGAGTTCATAAAGGCCCTTGATGGCAAGCCCAAACTCTGAGCCTGGGGCATACTCACAGAAATCCAATTCATCAAGAATGGCAAGAAACCTATATACCTTATGGAAAGGGACCCTAGACACAGGGGGTCACCCCATCTGTAAAGGCGGCAGGAAAGCAACAGCAAGTAACTATAGACGGACAACATTGACATCCCACACTATAAAATCCTTCAAAGTTCAAAGAGTTTTAAGAATCAAGGTCGCTAACTAGGGATGAGATGATACTAAATTATTATGATTATAATAAAAAAGAAGCACTAAAAGATACTAAAACATTTGCCAATATTAATAGTCAGCATTAGACTGATAAAGATATTTTTTCAATTTTTATTTTTAAAATTATAACCGCCGTTTAACCCTCTGACTGTTTTGGTGGTATATATACGTCTAACGAGCCACTGATTTTGATGTATATGTACTCAAATTCTAGCGGCTTTCAATCAAGCAGGAGAAAGCTGGTAGGCCCACATGTGAGAGAATGGGTCTGTGTGGTCAGTGTGCACCATACAAAAAAAATCTGCAGCACGCAGTGCATAACGAGAAAAAAACTCCGACCATTTCTTTTAATTAAAATGCTGACTTTGTGGTCTATTTTCGTATAGTATTTATGGCTGTATTTTCGCTTTCTTGGTCTCAATTGATAGAATAGAAAACATATTATAGAAATAGAGGTGATTTTGATTGGTTTTACTAGGAAAAGAACCTTGAAATGGAGCTCAAAGTAGGGAAAATGTTTGATTTTTGCCGATGTTCAAAAGTAAACAAATGATATAATTTTCCAATAAATATCCAAGTAGCCATTCTAATATGCAGTCATGAATGGGTTGACATTTATACAATTATTACAATATTGCAGTAGTCTGCATAACAGTAAATCTTCTATTTTTTGTTTGAATAAAAATTCAAAATAGAAAGCAAGAGTAATATGAGAGGGGCCTGGAAATGTGACTGATGAACAAAGAAAATGTTATTTTTGAGCCAGGAATGTCTGCATTGTTCATTCTGGACCCTATTTTGAAATTGTCATTTTTTAATTTTCATGAAATTGGCCAAATAGCAAATTTCTGACCACTTTATTGGGTAGTGAAATCGGTAAATGGGCAGTTTCTTGTACTCAGTCGATAGAAAAAAATGGAGTTCTAAAGAAATAGCTATGAGTTTGGTCGACTGGAACAATGGAATTAGCCGAAAATAGGGCTCGAAGCGAGCGAAAACGCTGATTTGTAAATATTGCCAAGGTCGCTAACTTTGCGAGAGCATAACTCCGTCAGTTTTCCATCAAATTTCATTCTTTTGATGTCATTACAATCGGGAAAAGATTCTCTATCATTTCATAAGATTTTTTTTTTTTTTTTTTTTTGGAAATTTTGCAACACCAGGAGACACCTCAGGATTTGGGGTTGTGACGTCAAGGGGCTAATAACAAGGAAAATTTAAAGCTAAATAAGTATTAAATAAGGGGTGTTAAATATTTAAAAACTAAACTTCCTGAGATACAAATGTCCTTTTTCATTGCTTAAAATTGACCCCACCAGATGTTACAAATTGAAAAGGGAAAATTTTTTAATCCCTTATATAAAAAATCACCTGATTAGACAATCAAAAATCAATTGGAAAAAAATTTTAATTTCCAGTTAAACAAAA